TCTAAAATTGCTCATAATTATATATATAGTTCAAAAATTATGAATATATAGTTCTAAAATTATGAATATAGTGTTGTGAACATATAGTTATGTAATTGTGAATATAGAGACTCAATAATTGTGAATATGAAGTTTAAAAATTATGAATATATAGCTTTATAATTATGAACATATAGTTTAGTAATTATGAACATAGAGTTTTGTAATTGTGAATATAGAGTTCAATAATTATGAATATGAAGTTCAAAGATTCCGAATATTTAGCTTTATAATTATGAACATATAGTTCAGTAATTATGAACATAGAATTGTGTCCACCTTGCAAAGTGGACACGGTTCCACAGCATAACTATTCGATTCACCGTGTTACATGTAGTATCTGTTCATATAGACTTACTCAACCTATTGAAGCCAAACGTTTCAAAAGGCTCTTATTTAAGAAACCGTATTTTAATGGTTTCTTATTTTAGTTTATTTATTTATTTATTTATTAGGGGGTTTTACTAAGATTAACCCAAAATGTATATGTGTTGTTTTTAGCAGTTTGGAGCAAATTGTTAAGTTATTAAATAATATTTTTGATGTTTTGATTAAATATAAAATGTTAAACAAGCGAATTTTTTAAAATTTTGGAGAATTCTCCAAATTATCAAATTACAATAACAATAACAATAACAATAACAATAACAATAACAATAACAATAACAATAACAATAACAATAACAATAACAATAATAATAATAATAATAATAATAATAATAATAATAATAATAATAATAATAATAATAATAATAATCCAAACAAAATTATATACAAAATAAAATTAAAATTAAAAAAAAAAAACAAGAAAAAACAAAGAGGAGTCACCGACTCATTTTGTAAATGATATGGATCATTTTGATCACACATTGAAAATGTTTGAAACGAGAGAGCTTATCTATATAAGAGGAGCAAAACTCCTCTTACAAACATAATTACTTGCACATCGATGTGGGCAAGTATTGAGAAGTCAAAAGGTTCTTATTTAAGAAGCTTTAGCGTTGTTTTCTTATTTTAGTTTTTATTAATTTATTTATTTATTATTAGTGGGGGTTTGGATAGATTAACCCAAAATGTATGTGTTGTTTTAGTTTTTAGCAGTCTGGAGCAAATTGCTAAGTTATTAAATAATATTTTGATTTTTTGATTAAATATAAAATATTAAACAGACGAATTTCTTAAAATTTTGGTGAATTTGTCAAATAATCAAATTACAACAAAACAACAACAACAACAACAACAATAATAATAACAATAATAATAATAATAATAATAATAATAATAATAATAATAATAATAATAATAATAATCCAAACAAAACTATATACAAAATAAAATTAATATTAATATTAAAAAAAAAAAGAAAAAAAAAAAGGCAAAGGGGAGCCACATGCTCCCTTTGTAAATGACGTGGGTTCATTTTCATCCAAAATTGAAAATGTTTGAAAAGATGAGCTCCAGAGCTCTTCTATATAAGAGGTACAAACATAATTGTTTGCCCATCGATGTGGCGAGTATTGAGAAGTCAAAAGGTTCTTATTTAAGAAACCTTAGCTTTGTCTTCTTATTTTAGTTTTATTTATTTATTATTTATTATTTATTATTGGAGGTTAGGAAAGATTAACTCAAAATATATGTGTTGTTTTAGATTTTAGCAGTTTGGAGCAAATTACTTAGTTATTAAATAATAATTTTGGTGTTTTGATTAAAGATAAATTGTTAAAATGACGAATTTGTCAATAATAATAATAATAATAATAATAATAATAATAATAATAATAATAATAATAATAATAATTTAAACAAAACGATATACAAAATAAAATTAAAATTTAAAAAAAAAAATAAGGAGAAGACAAAAGGAAGTCACGGGCTCCCTTTGTAAATGATGTGGGATCATTTTGATATCACATTGAAAATGTTTGGAAAGAGGAGCAATGTTCCTCTTACAAACATAATTGCTTGCCCATCAATGTAGGCAAGTAACCTGAAGGGTGTGGTTGAGTGTAAAGGACTCATCCATCCTTAACCAAAGGTCAAGGGTTCGATCCTTGGATTTGAGAATGGAGCAGCCTTAAATCTCTAAGCACAACTTAGCGAGGGGATTAGTCACTGTGTCCAACGGTGGAAACCCTGGGTTTACCAAAAAAAAAAATCAATGTGGGCAAGTATTGAGAAGTCCAAAGTCTTTTTTTTTTTTTTTTTTTTTTTTTTTTTTTTGGTTAGAAGTAAAGGAAAATTAAAAATGGAAAGGAAATATTTTAATAATAATATTTTACATCATCAAATAGTAAAGACATATTTTAAAAAATAGTAAAGATAAATAAAAAATGGAACGAAAATATTTCATTAATAATATTTTACATCATCAAATTAAAATGGAACGAAAATTAGGTAAAAATATCACAACATCTATATTCTAATTGACTGATTGATTGGAAATAAAAAAGAATAATTAACTGAAAATGAATCTAATATTACTAATTGACTGAAAATATAAAAGGAAATGAATATTAATAATTGACTGCAAATAAAAAATGATCTATAATTGACTAAAAAATGGTAAGATCATTGCATTTTAATTAAAAATGGAATGAAACTTAAAAATTGGAGGAAAATATTCCAATAATAATATTCTACATTATCAATAGTAAATGCATATTTTAAACAATAGTAAAGGTAAATTAAAAATGGAACGGTAGTTTGGTAAAAATATCACTGCATTTGATATTCTAATTGATTGAAAATAAAAAAGAATAATTGGCTGAAAATGAATCTGATATTACGAATTGACTGAAAATATAAAAGGATAACTAATTGAGTGATATTCTACCATTATATATTTTCACCCAAGTAACCCGTCCTGATGGAGAAGATGTTAGCTCTAGACGAAGATGAACAAGATTGTGTTGTCACTACCAATGTCGTCTACAAAGAGGTTTCAATAATGTGTAAATATAATCGATGATATTAATTTTTTTTTAAATGAAAAAATTGCTATATATCTAGACAATATATATATATATATATATATATATATATATATATATATATATATATATATATATATATATATATCTTCCATACAAATGAATATGGATAACAATTCATTTCTATAACTGAGTTGTTAGAGAACAAGCACATTTACCTAATGTATGAAAATACTAAACAATGATAAATAAAATCTTCAAAATTATAGGACCGCATCCGTACATCTAGACATTAGCTATTAATTTGAGCAATTATTTGCACAAATTCAAGCAATGATAACATCAAAATATATAAACGATTCAAATCATATCTTTAAGTGCACTATATAATATTTGATGTTCTAATTTAAATAATTATTTATCGATTCATATATTTTTAATATATTACAACATATTCATTCCGTGCATCGCACGGGTGCAAATACTAGTAAGTTTTACTACAAAAGTTTTGGGGGGAAAATTTGTTAGGAGGATTTTGCTTTTATATATATATATATAGATATATAGATATATAGATTTTTCCATTGTTTTCATTAACGAATACGATCCATTTCTCAGTAGATGGTTACGCGCTAAAAGCCATAATCACAACAAAATTTTGTTAGTTGTGGATTAAAAATTGTCACTCTACACATAGTTAAAAGGAAAAATTTTGTATAAGGTAATAATTCATGGATTAAGTTTACAATATATGAATAATTAATGAACTGAGTTTATTACCTTTAGAACAAATTACACTTTTAGTCATCAACTATTGTAGCATTGCCACATTTAGTCCTATTCTTTAAATTTTGTTGCATTTATATCTTTGACTTTTATTTATTTGTCACAATTAATCATCTGTTTAAAATTTTGTCATCTTACCGTTTATACAAAGAATGTTAACAAGTAATTTTAACATTCAAGTCCCTTGCCCCAACATGTAATTTCTCGCCTTCTCTAGGAAACTCTTTTAATTGAATGATAAAATTACATGTTTATTAATGGTGAAAATAAGTTGAATAAAGTCATCTCCAACCCATTATACCAAATTTTACACCAAAAGAAATATTCTCAGCATATTCTTACCCCAAATTTTATTCATCTCCAACTCATTACACCAAATTCTACACCACATTCTATTTCTACACTAAAATAATTTGTTTTCTTATAAATTAAAACTTTAATTTTTTTAATATAAAATTTAATTGTAATGCAAATAATATTTTTATTCCACAATAATATAACATATAACAACTATTACATTTAATTTTCAAAATTATCATATCATTCCCACAGATACTCAATCAATGCATTACAATTATGTTTTGTTTAATTTCAAATGTATTCAATTTAATTTTATGAAAATTATGTTTTATTTACTTTAATTTTTAATTAATCTATATATAATATTAGACTTGTTTTAATCGTCTTGATAAGATCTTCCAAATGATATAATTTATTTTTAATTATTCAAATTTTATGTGTATGTATTTAACAAAATATATAAATTCATAAAAATAAAATAAAGATACAAAAGGAATTAAGAAAAAAGACAAAGGGCAAACTTGACATTTAGGCTTTACACCATTTTGCCGTTTCATCTACAATTTAGCGCCAAATATGGCGCTACACTGTAGACCAACGCCAAAATGGCAGAGGTCTCGGCGCTTTCCTTGGAGAAGGATCTGCGCTAAATCCTCCGCCAAAATGGCGTTTGGCGCCTAACAAAACTTTAAAAGGATTACTAATTATTGTAAATAAATAAAAGTCAAGAATATAATGGACAAAAACTAAATGTGTCAATACCACAAAAGTCGATGACTAAAAGTGAAATTTGCTCAAATACATTATTAGCTCTAATTAATTATAGTTTCTAAAGAGTAACCATAAATTTAAATAAACTCATTAATGGTGGAACAAAAGTATCACTTTAATGATATCGAAAGCTTATAATATAGAGCTTAAAGATACTATTACCTAATAATTCAATGATCACAAGTGCAGTTTTTCCTAAAATCAATCAATTCATTAATAGTTGATGCTTTAACATATATTACAAATCACATTATTTTGGACAAAATTTGATGTAAAATATTTAAGTCTAAATCAATCACCTGATTGCTCGGAATGTTCTTGAAGTTGCATGTCCCATAGCTTTGATCTTTCTGGAGATACCAGACTGATATAATTGGCCTGACTTAATTGGAAGGAATGATGATAGAATTGTTATGTAGTCCCTGTGTCCTTCGACTTTGAAGAGCTTTGAGGTTTGAAGTCATGGCATCTGTCCTTAACAAGGTACTTCTACTTCTGAAAGTAGGGTATCTTGAGTTGTTTTCCTTGCTTGAGCTTCGAGCTTGCTTTGGTTTCCAATAGCATCTGATATAGCCTTGGGTAGCCAAAATCCAGGTCTCTCAAGAAATGGGGAGCGGTCAAGTACCAAAGCCTCACGCAATGTGATCTCAATGCCATCATATGTCCACAATGTTAAGTCCGCTTCACCTTTTAAGCCCAGGGAAAGCCATCCAAAGCCAGCCACAGATATGTCAATGCTGTTCAAATCCCAGCTTGTCCCACTCGCTTTAATTTGTTTTTCTTTCCAAGGGCCTAATTCAGGAACTCGCTCCATGCTAATAGGAGGCTGGACAAAAAATGAACCAGAATATATCATACATGATCTTTTTCATTTCCTTTTGTCTTTAAGCTTTGATTAGGAAGCAAATAAAAATTAAAAATGAAACAGATGTACCACCAGAGTAGAACAATTGCAGATTCATCATTGAGGCATGCTCACATTGTGTCAAAAATAGAATTCTAAACTATTCTAAGCTAGCTATCTATGAGTTCTAGTCTAACTAAACTATTCTATTATAACAAAAAATTAGAATTCTGTCAATTACTCTTTCTTTCCAAATTTAGTTTTCCTTGTGTTGGTCTACCTCAGCGGCAGTACCCCTTCCCCCAGAAATCCCAGAATGCATCAGTAACTAACACTGACAATGACATAAAAGTATATTATTTGTTATTTTCCTGCTCCAGGTTGAAGGACATATAGTGTATAGTGGCTGTTAATTGTTTAGTTAACTGAAACAATAGAGGAAAAGTTGGTGTAAATACGCTTAATGCTTCACAATTAGGTTCAAATGGTTCACACTATGTTTGCTCAATCCACTAAACAGAAAGACTTGTAATCATAGGACAAGAGTATTTACCTGCAACCTAATCCCACAATGCTTGTTCCAAATGTCATCAGCATTTTCTGTTTTACCTAGATGAAGAGAGACACTTGGAGATGCCCAAACAGTGACATATATGGTGTTCACTGAAGCAGAATTGAGATCTAATCTTACTAGACCTCCAAGATGTACAGTCTGGCCTGGCTACAAAATGTTGATAAATTTAGAATTAGAAAAACTATTTCAACTTTGAGGAAGAGAAGATTTTCTGCAAATGAATAAAACCACTTTCCCAATAGCAATATAGGAAGGATATAAAAGAGTGAGGAGTAAAATGAAAAGGAACCATCAATTACCTATGACTATCATGTGCAAAGGTGTTATAAGGCCCAAACAAACTCAAATTTTTAGACTGGGTTTCACTCATATTAAACAAAAACTTAAAGGACCATGTGGAAAGAAGTTAAATCAGATGCCTTAGATGTTCAATAGCAATCTAGCTTTTAAGTACATAGAAAAGTCTACTTAATCGGTTACCTCCCAATTCACATAAATTATAGATTTTTCTATTAAATAAAAGCTCAATGGGTCATGTGAAGTTAAGCCATACAGCTCAACAGCAATCCAAATTTAAATTACTTACAAAAATCTACTTCACCCATACATGCCATATCCATGTTACATAGTCTGTTCATTATCAGACATTTAGAATTAGAAGAAAAACAAGAAAATAATGTAGTTCTTGTCTGTAAGAATAATCTTCAAGCAATTCTAGTAACAGTATTAGACAAACTAATCAATGGGATAGACTTTATAAAATGCTTGCCTTTATTCTATAGCTGCGAGGTTGTAGCTCCTTCCGTATCTCAACCATTTTCTGCTCATCCCTATTTAGTCTCATGGATAATAAATATGGATGGAGGAGGCCAGGAGTGTCATACATCTTTGCCTTGGCAGACAATACGCCACCAATTCTCAAGATCCCAAGTGTTGTTCCAGGTACCGGAGCTTCAGTAAGCTTTGTAGCTTTTACTCCTTCCTTCTTAGCAAATGCATTGATCAAGGTTGACTTTCCTGCATTTTGAGCCCCAATAACCCAAACATTACCACGAGGACCAGCCAACTCCTTAATAAATGCCAGTAAATTTCTCACACCCAAATCCTTACGAGCACTTACCAAATAAACTCCACTGAGTTTAGGTGCTCCATTAGCCTTAGCACGGTGTCTTACCCATTTATCTAGCCTTGTTGGGGATACTTGGGAGGGGAGAAGATCAACCTTTGTTGCCACAAGAACAAGTTTTGGCAGTTTTTTACTTTGCTTCAAGCCTTCTTTGCTCCTTTCAAGCGCCTTGAATAAAGAATTGGCTGCCCTCTTTGGAAACGATCCATCAAAATCGATACAATCAACCACCATAACCACAACTGTAGCATCAGCATTCCCTGTGGGCTTCATTAGCCTCGTAGTTATCAACCGCTCAAAGTCAAAATCAGGTATCAGGTTCTCTGCCACCTGATTCTTCACTTGTCCATAATTCCTCAATGAGTAGCATCGAGCACAAACTGTTACCTCCTCTTTTTCCATCCGAGCTGCTTCTCTTGCCATCCTTTTCCTCTCTGCTTTTGACACCCTTTTCTTCTTCCTCCTCTCAAGAATCTCCTCGGTAATATTACCATAACCTAAACCAGCTGGAGAAAACCCATCCAACTCCTCCAAATCATCATCTTCTGTTTCAACCTCTGATTCCCATTCTTCTAAATCCCAATCAATTCCAGAATCCATTGTCCCCTCAATATAATCCCCAAACTGCACTTCTCCCTCAATATCACCAAACTCTTCATCATCCAAAAAGCCCTCATTGTCCTCTACATCTATTGTCAGATGATCAACAGAGCGTTTCTTGTAATACCCAGGAAGATTAGGGTCTTCATCCTGCATAAAGATTCCACAACCAGGACATACCTGTCCATATTTCTCATCCTCGTCCCTTCCCTCACTTAATAATTTCCCATATCCACCGCCGCCTTTTCTTGAATTACTACCAACTTCACGACCTTTTCGAGTTTTACTAACTGATTGACTACTCTTCACCGACAGAGAAACAAATGATGGAGCCTTATGGATAATATATTTACTCTTGTCGCGACTCTTCTTATCCACTCCTATTATAAACAACACCCAAAAGAAATCTTGGAAAATTGAATTCTAGCTGAAAAGCAGAAAACGGGAGAGATTTAGGGAAATTAGTTTTGATTTTACCTGTAAACAGAAGACGGCATACCGTGTCTGGGTGTGTTCCAATGGAAGATAACTTGGGGCGGAGATTAGAAGATGTTGGCACTGAAATGGAAGTTGAGGTAGAAAGCAATAGCGCCATTTCCTCTCTGTAATCTTTCTGTATTCTTCCTCACGGTCCCGGAGACAAAGGCCACCAAGTTGCCAATACTTCAGCAGTTTAATTTTTTTACCCAAGCAGGGGATATTTTCAAATGTTTATTATTTTTTTTGAAACCAAATGTTTATTATTGTTTAATCTTTATTTCTTTTATTTTGTAAATATTATCTACAATTCTTCTCCCATATTATCTAAAATTCTTCTCCCAAAATGTTGAATCTCCAACCTAAGGTCCCCAACACTCCGACCGGATAGAGATATTATCTACAATTCTAATAAGCCTCAATAATGTTAGACCCTTTAACTGCAACAACAAAATGTCCGTAGCATTGTTTATTAAAATAAATAGTTCATATTATTTTGATTTTAGTATTTTTTTAATAATTTTTCTTATTTACCCTCTATTATATTATTTTCTTCCCTTAAATAATATAAATTCCATTAGTATAAACTTGAGTAACGGAATATTTCGTTAACTATTTATTATTTTTAACTTACTCATTAATTTATTAAGAAATGTCTTAGGTTTGAACCCCATCCCAATTAGAGTTGACATAATTGTTAAACATATACTACGAATATGTTAAAATGTATTAAAAAATATATAATATAAAATTTAACATAAACTTTGGTCAAATAATTAGTCCGACTAAATACATAACATTCAAAGTTAAGCATCAAAGATTATAAAACAATAACTTTAAAAATCATTTAATTTTTATGCATTTAAAAAAAAAATTAGGTTAAGTTTTTTTTTTTTTTTTTCGTTTAAAGCTTATAAAACAAGAGTCTTCGTGTTTAAGCTAGGGAAGCTTTAGAAATTCCTCGCGAGAAAGCGCGATTATGTCTCTCCCCTATTTATAGACAAGTTAGGCAGGAGAATTTTAAATTTCAAACCGAACCCCTAGGTGGTCGTCCACGGCGCGACACATGGTAACAAGTTCGGATTGGGCGATGATCTGCGTAATACACCATAGACGAGCGCTACACCAGATCCCGTCCTGATTAAATGGCATGACCTTAGAATGCGATCAGATTTTATAGTCCGAGCCCTTGGCCACGCTGCCCCGACTTGGGACATGGACTATGGGGGCTACTTGATAAGGAATATACTCCGCTTTCTGACCTTCTCGTACTCAGGACCTGGTCGGGTACGATTCGCCTTGAGACCCGGACCATTTCCCGACCTGAACCGACTAGAGTGCAATGCTTGAGAGACCCAACCTGAAGGTTAATTGACTTGTTTGCTTGATGAGCCGTTTTATAACCTTTTTGTGCTCGGTCCCGACCTTATTGCTCGTCCGAGATCCCGAGCAAGCATATTTTGCGTCCGAACCGGAACCAATAAGCAATTAGCGAGTCCCAGATATATCCTTACACGTGTACGTCTCTCCTCAGCCGACCGAATTACCGATTGCATGGAGGGCACATGGCGCTCATGCCGGCCTCTCGGCATGTGTCCTTTCAAATTCCCTGTAAATACCCCGCGAGACGCTTGTAGATGTGACTTTTGGCAATTTCTATATAGGTTTACTTAAGCTCGGGAACCTTTGGCCTCACGCCATACACCGAGCTTAACACCTTAACCCAACAAGCAGACCTCATAAAAGGCCAAAACCCGGTCTGATCCAGTACATCGTACGTATCCGTAATAAGCCCCTTATATATATATATATATATATATATATATATATATATATATATATATATATATATATATATATATATATATGTATATGTATAGAATTTAGTTCCCGTGCGGTTGTGCGGTGAGTAATGTGCGTGAGTTTTGTACTTAAGGTGCGTGAGTCTTATGCTTAAGGTGCGTGGGTTTTGTACTTAAGGTGCATGGGTGTGTACTTAATGTGAGTAATTGTTGAAACTTAAGGTGCATCAGTTTTTTTATTAAGGTGCATGAGTTTTGTACTTAAGGTGTGTGAGTCTTGTGCTTAAGGTGCGTGAGTCTTGTGTTTAAGGCGCGTGAGTCTTGTGCTTGATGTGAGTAGTTGTTGAAACTTAAGGTGCGTGTGTTTTGTGCTTAATGTGCGTGAGTTTTGTGCTTAAGGTGCGTGTGGTTTGTGTTTAAGGTGCGCAAATTTTGTGCTTAAGGTGTGACAATGCTTTTTATTTCTCTTTTCGCGTTCCTCTTTTTCTTATCTTTAATGTCAAAAGTTTGTGGGATGACTCCCGAATTTATCGTTCTCAAAGGATGGCCGTTCGGAGTAGATTTGCATTGTCAATACTAAGAAGGAGGTTTGCATAAGATTTAGGGAGTGTCACGCAATATTTGATACGGCCGTGGTAGGTTTCAAGCAACAAACAACTAAAATGAAATAACAATAAAGGAAATAGGGGTTGAATTGCTAGTGTTGATCATGATGCACCTGGGATCATTTGACACGGGAAGGAAACATTGCATATGCTAAGTCTAGGGAGGAAGCTATTCTCCTTTCGTCTTTCAACTACTAGGATTTGTCTAGGAGACACTAGAATTCCCTATGTCGGGCTCTTGGAGTCGCCTTGACCATTCCTCAAACACCTTGCCTACACTACCTTTCTAACCTAATCCTAATTTGGATTATGAGGTTAGAAAATGTCAAGGCTAGAAGCTTCAAGTGATCTAGCAATCGCTTGCCTAGATCACTTGCTTAACACAACCCTAGGAGGTGGCCTAGCTCCATAAGATGCTTACAAATCAAACCCTAACAACAAGACTTCAAACATAGCAAGTATTCAATCCCCAATAATTCAAGAATTAAGTCACATAGGCATCATAATCAATCACTTCACAATTCAATCCCTAACTAAACTAGCCAAACATAGCAATCAACATTGGAAACATGAAATCAAGCATATGAAAGCAATAGAAAAGTAGAAATAGAAATATACCAATGTAGATTACAAGCTTTGCTAAGATCTCTTGATTAGGAGGTTGTCAATCTCATTCTTCAATGGAAATCTAAAGAGCTATCTAAAATATAGAGGTTTTTGGTGTTTCTCTCTCTAAATTGCAAATCTAAAATGTCTATCTCTAAATCTAACTCTCTCCTCTAACACTTCTCCCTGAAAATGAATCTAAAAATGTCTTAAATAGCATTTCCTTCACTAATTCCGCACAAGGCCACAACGCACGTCACAACGTGCGTTGTGCGATTAAGTTGTTAAGTTACGAATCCTGCGACATGCGTTGTGTCGTTTGTGAAACTCTCTGTTTCTCCATAATGCACGTCACAACGTGCGTTGTGCCATTCGTGGATCTTTCTGTTTCTCCACAACGGATGTCACAACGTGCGTTGTGCCTCCTGTCTTGGCCTCGACTTATCTCATTTTTCCGCTTTGTTCCGTCCTATGCCACTTTGCCTTGTTTTCAACCAAAAATGTCCTACAAAATCATAAAATACAAAGTGTGGTGATATTTTATAGCACAAAGCACAATCTTAGCTTGAATGGCCTAGAAATGGTCACAAAGGATCATAATTAGCTCAAAATACACCCTAATGAGACCCTAAAACTAGGTGCATTTGACACTTATCAAGGTGCGTGAGTTTGTGTTCTTAAGGTGTTTTGTTTGTGTGCTTAATGTGCGTGCGTTGAATTCAAATGAGGACCACTATATTATAGAGGACCGTGAGAACTGACGTAGTCGTCGTTGTCATTAATCTGTATGTCGTGTGCATGGCAGAATGTAGTCGTGTGTCATAATTTGTATGTCATGTGCATATGTTTGTTAATTAATAGAGCCTGGGTTCGAAACCTGATGTTTACCTACAAATTAAATCTAAGATCGAAATAAATAAATGTAATGTACAGTTGAAGCAACTACCATGAATATATATAATCCATGAACTGATCCAATTCGATCGATCGAAGCCAAGCCATGCATTTTAATTTGAATTTGCATTTAAAAACCAACCAACCTACGAACTAAAAAACTCTGATCTGATCTGCTTAACGATCAAGTGAATGAATTCCTGTCTTCCTGCCGCGGCAAAAGAGACGCCGCCGTATGAATCGATCTAGATCTCATCGTGAATTCCGAGTCGTCGTCCGTCGTCCTGTCAAACGTGTCCTCCGACTTCGTCCGCCGGTGTTCCTGTCCACTCTTCTCCGCCTACTCCTCCTCCTCCACCGCCTCCACGTCCCACAGCGCCTTTTCATACGTCCGGTGCCGGTTTGGCGGGTCGTGGGTGATCGAGTTTCTCCACGGCCGCAATCCGCGGTTGGGGCGCAGATAATTTCCCTGCAGCGTCTTTAACCGCACCTGGAATCCATCCCTGATGGGCTCCCATTCCGTTGACGCTGCTTCGTTTTTGTCCGGCACTGTCTGGAGGACCTTTTTTCCGGTGACTCCCGGAATGAATGGAACGCAAGAGGCCGTCAGGTATTTCCCGTGACAACTCTTCAGGCGCACCACGTCTTTCCCTTCCACCACTTCCACCCTCCAAACAGCGTTTTCAGAGGACCCATTCCGGCATTGTACCACGGTTTCTTTGTCATCGGCGGCTATTAGGTGCTTGTCTCCCCGGCCCCGGAGCCGGACCTTCTTCGCCTTTTGAAAGAATTCCATCTTTTTATTTTTTGGACAGCCGGTCTATTGCATGCATGATAGATGCATGCATGCATGAAATAACCCCAAAAATAAATCCATTAATTGCCAACAACAAAATTTTCATTATTTCGATACCAATGACTAATAATTACCTCAATTATTGAAACTTTTGAAGTTTAAATCACTCCAACACCAATTTTATAATATCAATTTAACAATGTTTATTGTGAGAGAAAATATAGGTACATATATACACACAATCGTTATGCCATGGAACTGTATTCACCATTCATGGTGAACACGGTTCTAACGGTGTTAGTACACCGTTATCTTTTTTTTTTTTTTTAATTAATTGCGTGACTTTTCTTCTTCATTTTCACATTTCGCGGTTTCACTTTAATTTGAGGTGAGCAATGATTTCGGATATTCATAAATTATGAATTCATGCCTGTACATTCACTTTGGAACCATGCCTACACATTCTCGTCCGAAATCACGGACATTCATAAATTATGAATCCATGCCTGCACATTCACTTCGGAACCATGCCTACACATTCACTTTGGAACCATGAGATTATGAATTTTCTGTTATAAGATTATGAATTTTCAGTTATGAGATTATGAATTTTCTGTTATGAAATTATGAATTTTCTGTTATGAGATTATGAATCTACATTACATTCATAATCTCATAACAGAAAATTCATAATCTAATAAATATTTTACTTTTATACGATTATGAATTTTCTGTTATGAGATTATGAATTTACATTACATTCATAATCTCATAACAGAAAATTCATAATTTGATCAAACGCGCGCCATTAACTCCCTATCCACATCCGCGATTTTTTTTTTTTTTTTTTTTTGCATAAAAACGACGTCGTTTGGACTTGTGTTCACCATTCACGGTGAACATGTTTCCAGAGCATAATTTGCGATATACACACTAACCCTTTAAGGCCCAAACTTACCCATCAAACAATTAATTTATTAATCACATTAATAAATCAATTTAAATAGATAACAACTAGTCACAATTCTTTAAATATCTTTGCATTATCAAAAACAAATATTTAGTGAGACACCTAGCAATCACGATAATAACTTATTCTTAAATAAAACTAATTCATGTGACACCTAGCAGTATATCATGATTATCCAATTAACAATGAAATTAATGGGATCATGATGAACCTTTTTGTAATAAATATCTACTATATTAATAAGAGCCCAAGAAAGTTAGGCATCTAATAGATAGAAAAAATGACGGTCAAATTTTTTAATCAAATGAATGACTAAGATTGATCAGATTTTAAATTTTCCTTAAGATTTTCTAATTTATCCTTAATGAATATGATTATCCGTTAACTTTTCTGTTAAATATTATCTTTTCCGTTAATTTTTATTAGTTCATCGTTAATTTACTCATTGATTTCAATAAGAAAGGTCTTAGGTTTGAACCCTATCCCAATCAAAGTTGGCATAATTAGTATTCTATTTTTTTGAAAGCCAAAAGAATCAGATTATATTAGCCATCATGGGCTGAATAAAAGAAGGGGGAACATCCCTCCAAACAGAACGTTCTGCAGCAGCCGCTACATGTTTAGATAAGGAGTGCGCCACTCGGTTGGCCTCCCTATTAACATAATAAACATTAGAGCCAGACAACGCATGAACTAAACGTTTACATGCTAAAAGAGTATAACCAAAATAATTACGAAACGAACTAACTGAAGTAAGGCTAGAGACCAAAAGTGATGAGTCCGTGTAGATAGCGCCACCTGAGTACCCATTATCCCTTAGCCAAGAGAGGGCTTCACACAAAGCCATAGCTTCTGCAAGAAGGGGGTCGTACGGACAAGCCAAGGGGCCATTCGCCGCAGCCACGTAAGACGAGTCACCGGCAAACACCACAAATCCGAAAGCGGGGGCACGTTGCGGTCCATGGAAACCAGCATCCACATAACACGAAAAGGTGCTGGACGTAGCAGGTGGGGCGTGCGCTGGACCCGTGCATGAATCTCCTCCGGTCGCCGCAACTCGACGTGTCTCAGCATCACTCCAGGCGGAACATTGCACTTGTAATCGGCAAAGCAGCGTGGTAGGACTTGGCATAGCTGCATCCCACACGGCGGTATTACGTGCAGACCATATAGAATAAAGTACACCACAAATACGGCCCTGCACTTCACTTGAGAAAACCGAGACACCACCGAGCCACTCCTCCACCCAATCCACGAAACTCCTGTTGGCAATAGCAGGTATTTGAATTTGAGACAGCTGTCAAACATTAACAGCATATGGACAAGAACAAAAGATATGCATTACACATTCAGAATCTAAGCCACATGACAGACACGAATTAAAATCGACCACCCTCCTAATCAACAAATTATCAAGAGTGGCCAATATATTCAGAAGAGCTCTCCACAAAAACACCTTCCACTTTGGAGGTACCTGCAATTTCCAGACTTTATACCATACAGGAGAAGGCTGTGTAGTCATCAGGCCCAACCTCCTATACTCGTCCTTCACCGAATAGCACCCCCTTATATCCCCTTCCCAATACCACATATCAACGAATTCCGTATTCACAGGCAACTGACGGATCAAACCTGCATCTCGTGAATTGAACAGCTGCTGCAAACAATCATTTTTCCAACTCCCGATACTTGCATCTATTAAATCCGAAACCAACAAGTCATGGGCATTGTCCATCTGGACAGAATCTACATAGGGATTCTGCAGATCCGGTAGCCAAGGAAAACCCCAAATTCGAGTATCCCTGCCATTGCCAATCCTGCGCCTGCACCGGATAGGCCACATTGGCGCCTCACGTGTTACTATGGATATGCTCAGAGGAGTAGGAGGAGGGCGTCTTGGGATTTTTGAGATCTCTGAAGGGGGCTTCTGAGCTGCCGTGGGTGGTTCTGGGGGACTTTAACGATTTGTTGTCTCAGTCGGAGAAGAGGGGTAGATTACCGCATCCGAATGGTTTGATTGAAGGTTTCAGTGAGGCCTTGGAGGATTGTGGATTGATGTCTATTCCCATGATTGGCTATCCTTTTACTTGGGAAAGGGGCAAGGGCACAGCGGATTGGGTGGAGGAGCGGCTTGATAGGGTAGTGGCCTGCATGGACTGGCTGGGTCGTAATGATAGGGCAAGGCTGTATAATATTCGTACAGACTTGTCGGATCACTCGGCTCTTTTCCTTGATATCTATGGGTCAGTGCTGGTTCATAGGTCACGTGGTTTTCGCTTTGAGAATGTGTGGTTGCTGGATGAGGGATGTAGGGGGGTGGTGGAACATGAGTGGGCGGGGTCACAAGGTTTGGAGCTTCAATCTCGACTCGCCATGTGCGGGAAGGGTTTGAAGGCATGGGGGGGGGGGGGTGACCGGCATCACTTGTTTGGGAAGCGGATTGTTGAGTTGAGGAAAGAGATGGATATGTTACGTGGTAGGCGTGATCCTACTGCTTTGGCCCAGTTTGCACATCTGGATAGTTGTTTGAATGTGGTTCTGACCCCGCAAGAGGCTTTTTGGAGACAACGTGCTAAGCAGCACTGGCTGCAAGGTGCTGATCGTAATACTAAATTCTTTCACAAGTATGCGTCCCACCGGAAAAAGAAGAATGTTGTAGAGAAGTTGAAGGGTGATGACGGATTTTGGAGGGAGGGGCCGGCTTTGGATTCGTTGGTGGCTTCTTATTATAAACAGATTTTCACTTCTGGCGGGTCCCCGGGGCCTTTCAGTGTGGATACTATGCGGTCTCGTGTGACCGACGATCAGAATGCTCATCTGCTGCGTCCTTTTGAGCCGAAGGAGGTTCGTGCTGCGGTATTTTCTATGGGCAAGGACAAATCACCTGGTCCTGACGGCATGAATCCGGGGTTCTACCAGGCCTTCTGGGATGTTATTGGTAAGGATGTTACGTCTTTTGTGCTAAATTGCCTTTCTCAGTCATCTTTGCCTGATTGCTTGAATGATGCGAACATTGTTTTGATCCCTAAAAAATGTGCCCCTGAGTTTGTTTCTGATTTGCGCCCGATAGCTCTGTGTAATGTTTTATATAAAGTTATGGCTAAGATGTTAGCCAATCGCATGAAGCCTTTGTTGGAGGATATTATCTCAGAGTCACAGAGTGCCTTTCTCCCAGGAAGGCTAATTTCAGATAATATTTTGGTAGCCTCTGAGGTTGGTCATTATTTGAGAAGGAAGCAGTTGGGTCAGGTGGGGTGGGCAGCCTTAAAGCTTGATATGGCTAAGGCCTACGATAGGATGGAGTGGCCCTTTGTGAATGACATGTTGGTGGTCCTGGGCTTTGATGCTAAGTGGATACAGTTGATTATGATGTGCATTCAAACCGTGCGGTATAGAGTTCTGGTAAACGGTAGGCCTTCTGAGGTTATTGTGCCTTCTAGGGGTTTACGCTAAGGAGACCCCTTGTCTCCGTATTTGTTTATCATTTGTGCCGAAGGGTTGTCTTTACTCTTACAGGATTCGCAGGCAAAGGGGCGTATACATGGATGTCGGGTGGCCCGGGGGGCACCACCGATTTCGCATTTGTTCTTTGCAGATGACAGCTTGCTCTTCTTTAAGGCCAATCTGCAGGAGACGCAAGAGGTGAAAAGATGTCTTAGTGTGTATGAGACGTTTTCAGGCCAAGCGGTGAATTTCCATAAGTCATGTGTGTCGTTTAGCCGGAATACTCAGGAGGAGATGAGAGAACTTGTCTTAGGGACCTTAACGGTGGCGCAAGCCGAGGACTTTGGTAAGTACCTGGGGTTGCCTTCAGTTATTGGTAGGAACAGGAAAGCTGTTTTTGCTTACATTGAGCAAAAGCTGAAACAACGGTTTGGCTCATGGAATAAGAGGTTACTGACTAAGGCCGGTAAGGAGGTACTTTTGAAGAGTGTTGCTCAGGCTATGCCAACATATACAATGAGTATTTATCTGCTCCCGACTACTTTATGTGTCGCTTTGGAAAGATTGATGAACAGGTATTGGTGGG